CGAGGTGGGGTGGTGGGAGTAGTCTATTGTTCAAAGCGTTCCCTCCTACAGACATGGGTACAATGTGTGAAGCCATTTCTGGTGTCCCCTGGAATATTACTAAAAGCGACGTAAAACTAAACTCACTCACTCGATAGTGTCGAGGTCATCTGAAAACTTCATCATCCATGGCTGATTACTAATGCTGCATCAGGAACCTATGAAATATCCCCTCCCATATGTCACCGAGGTTCCCAATATTGTATCACTCCTCCATAGACTAAAGATATGACAACCTACTTGAGACAGCCTTGTTGTTAAAGCGTTCACTCGTCACGCCGAAGACCCCGGGTTCGATTCCCCATATGGGTACAATGTGTGAAACCCATTTCTGGTGTCCCCTGCCGTGATGTTGTTGGAATATTGTTAAAAGCGGTGTAAAACCATACTCACTCACTACTTAAGACAATGGAGTACCTTCCAAATATACCCATGTTTCCCTAGCTTGTTGTAAATCCTGCATCGATTGACATTTTCCTCTGACCATAACGCTTTAACTTACTGAAATGCTCTTCAAAAAGGCGTCATACAAAACTCACTCACTCACTTCCTCCATTCCACATCACCCATGCCCTGTATAGCGGAAGTCGATGTCAAGTGATGAATACAATTGTTCATTGTTCTTAACCTCTCCTTTACTGTTTGGCCATGTAATTGGGGTTGTCCACTAATGTCAAAATATCAGCATCATTGTCAAATATATCCAGCTTTTGTTTTGCTATTGTGTTTAAATATGTTATACTACCTTGTAAATTTGACTAAAAGTCCTCATGGTGAATTAAATATAAAAGCTGCAACAGTGAAAACTTTGAGTATCCACTATAGTCTATAATGCTTATCGAATTTTTGGCGTGTTTAGAAAAAAATTCTCAATCTATCCTTCGTTATTATTCATTAAGTTACAAAATCAAGCTTCTACACGGATCCGGTACCAAAATTGATCTACATCAGTCTATTGTTTCAGCGGATCGTGTGTTCTTGTTCTCTTGAGACGTACATCGTTGTTCGTATCTGCGTGGTTAATACCAAACCCCGTTTAAAAGGAATATTGCTGATTGCAGCGTAAAACAAACAGATAGACTCAAGACTTACAAAAACTCGAATCCGTGCATATTTATATGTTGCAGTGATATATATTATCTAATAATGTTCCAAGTGTAATACATTGTACATGCAATGTTCAGTGAGGGACTGTGGAGTGCTATATTTGGACATCTATTAGATTTAGACTGGAAGATCTGGAAAGTACTGCATGGAGCTGATTCAATACAGAGTGAGTTAGTGAGTTTAGTTTACGCCGCGCTCAGCAATAAGCCAGCTATATGACGGCGGTCTCTAAAAATCGAGTCTGGATCAGATAATCCAATGATCAACAGCATGAGCATCGTACTGCGCAATTGGGATACGCTGACATTGATTCGATACAGATTCTTGTATCGTTGTCCCGGCGTGAGAGTCTCGAAACCTCTCACTCACGACGTGAAAGAAATTGTTATCCATAAAAAGTGTGTCAATAATGTATTTCCCAACTTCTAAAATGCCACTTTAAGAAGCTGAGAATACAGTTGTTAAGTATATCACATTTCTTTGTTGTTGTTTTTTAGCCTAGTTCTTTTACCTACTGCTTCCCGGTGAAGTTTTAGTTTGAACTCGGGAATCAACATATCATAATATCTAGTACTTATGAATGGTCCTTTAAACATTAAACTTTTTTTCACTTTGTCTTTTAAGGTAATCGATGGCTTAAAAGAGATTCAACTCAAGGCATGTGGCAATGCTCTGAATCACGTGACGGTCCGATGTCTTGGTGTAAGCACGTGGTTAGACTTCCTCAAGCGATTGGCTGATGCTCTTGGTCTCAACACTACCCTTCTGGGTCCGTCCGAGTTGAAGATTAAAGACAAAATCGGTGACCTCATTAGACATCTACCTGGCGTTGGTCTCATTCTTCTGTTTACGAACTTCGAAGATGTCTTCTCCAATGAAGCTGTCAGGCGGATGTTCAGCCTCTTTCTGAATGATGCTCTAGATTCGCACTCAGGTTTGAGCGTGCTTGTGACGTCACGGGTCAACGTTTCATTTTGTCCCGCCATGATGCGATTCCATGCAAATTGCTTCCCATGTGCGAACGAGAATGTGGGCTTTGTTGAATCCAGTGCGTTCGAGATGCAGGTCTTTAGCCACGCTTTACAACATCGTCAGACGTTGCTGCCATCGCCCAGGACTAATCCTAAGAACTTGCTACATGTTACAACATTATTCCTCAGCCCTTACACCAGACGAAGTTGCTGAGGCTCTACAAGACCCCAAGAGCGCTCTGGATGTGTTCAGCAAGTACCCCACCGCTGATGGGTGCGTTGTTAATGCTCTTGAAGAACAGTTAGGTCGTCTAGCTCCGGGCTAAAATCAGACACAATCACACTCTGTGGTCTTCACGGAGAGTTTGGTGTCAAAGAGGCCTCAAGACGTCTTAGAAAGGGAAACGTAATCGACTTCAAATTGAAGACAGCTTTGCCTCTTGCGCGATCATAACATACTTAACTTTGATCCAGGAATGCGGCAATTTAGACTCGATCCTTTCATTCCGAGCTTTTTGTGGCAACCAAGTTACATGTGCCTCATCACGACTCCCGCCGGAAGTTGATGGAGGATTTACTTGGACAGATGTTGTTGCTCATGCGTTGTGATGCTTCTGTGAAAACAAAGGGAGAGCACTCGGGTTTTGCCCATGACAACTTCCGGTCTTTTGAAATGACTCTGACTCAGGCTGTTAATGCCCGTGAAGAGGAAACGTTTAATGCTTATTTTAAGGTTAGTGTTTTATCATGGTCAAGTTGTTGGAATAGAGCCCAAAATATGTCCTTAAATAGCCAGTGCTTGTTGTACGAACCGATGTGTCAGGACCGTGTTGGCAAGTGTGTGTCCAAGCTGATTGTGTGTCATTGTTCACTACAATTTGTTGTCTGGCACAGGCTGAAGATCACCGTCACATACAGGGAATATTGCTGCCAGAAATTTAAAACATCATTTACATAATCTGATAATCAGGTAGAAGCCATTGGCTTAAACCCTGCGCCATGATAGCCGTCCTTCGTATTTCAGAAAGATATGGACAATTTTCGGGTCACGTATGTGGTCGGGTACCCAGGCCTCCCGATATTTTGAATGATGCAAAAAGCGGCGTGAAAACAAGCAATCAGTAGGCAATAATCTCTTCACATTACTCTGACGAGCCATGATAGAACAGGTGTCAGCCAACCTCCAATACTCACGTGACCTTGATCATTTCCTACAGGTCATTGACCAGGAGGAGTGTATGATGGCTGCAGTGTGTCCAGACAAGGCGGTCACTTTCTACAGACAGATGGCCGAGGCTGCCTGTAAGTTCGGTACTCCCAGACAGCAAGCAATTCTAGAGGGTTTCACGGCCGTGTCACTCATCGAGCAAAGAGGTGAGTCGTTTGGTGGACAAACAGATATAACCTAACGTTTCAATTTTATGCGTGAGTGAGTATGGTTTTACGTCGCTTTTAACACTATTCCAGCAATATCATGGCGTCGAACACCAGAAATTGGCTTCACACTTTTTACCCATGTGGGGAATCGAACCCGGGCCTTCGGCGTAACGAACCAACGCTTTAACCACTAGGCTACCCCACCTCCCCATACCAAGATATGTAGAGGGTGGTTCCTGCTGTTAGCTTGCTTGACGCCTGGCAATAAGCTTAGGACATGATTCCGAACATTTGTACAGTGACCAAGTGATTGAAATAGCCAGTGGTGGGCAGACATATATAGCCCTAACTTGTCAAACTGAAAGGACAATTCCCGACATTGATTCTGTGTGACGCCATTTTCTGGTTCCCTCAGTGACAGGACTACTCAATGAGAAGTAAAACCATACCCAATGACTCTAGGATTTGTTTGGAAAGCATTGTTCTAGAAGTACTGGAATCTTGTATGTTTTTGTCTCGGGGGTGTACACACAACACTATAGTTCACTGAACATGCTGAATGTTCTGGCAACAGATGTGATGAGAAGTAGGACGTAAATATACGTGACTTGCTGTTACCCTGCCTTTACTTGCTGTTACCCTGCCTTTACTTGCTGTTACCCTGCCTTTACTTGCTGTTACCCTGCCTGCCTCTACTTGCTGTTACCCCTACTTGCTGTTACCCTGCTTTTACCCTGCCTTTACCCTGCTTTTACCCTGCTTTTACTCTGCCTTTACTTGCTGTTACCCTGGCTTTACTTGCTGTTACCCTGCCTTTACTTGCTGTTACCCTGCCTTTACTTGCTGTTACCCTGCCTTTACTTGCTGTTACCCTGCCTTTCGCTCGGCCTAAGGGGATAAAGCCGGGTACTGGTCGGCGCAGTCAGCATATTGTAAAACCGGTATTTGTCAGGGGTAGTAAATGCAGTCCCACATACACGTGAAAGTACCTTGCGATAACAGTTAGATAATCTTGAAAGCGAAATAAACAGAAATTCAGTTATATGACGTCTGTAAATTATCTATAAATCCAGGGACTGAGCTTAAGTCTACACTGCCATACGATGCAATTCGTCACCTCCGTAACCTCCAAGAAAGAATAACACGAATGCATCCAATCCCTTTAACCGCTTCCATCAACACATGGGTTGCTGGAGGCCAATTCAAACCCCAATCCTCTCGGTGGTCCTCAGTTGTGGAGTGCTTTTGGCAATATTCCAGCAATATCACGGCGGGGGACACCAGAATTGGGCTTCACACATTGTGCTGATTTGGGGAATCGAGCCCGGGTCTTCAGCGTGAGGACTAGGCTCCCCCACCGCTCTTCCTCAGTTGTAGAACACAGAGGCATGTGTTCGGAATAAATGATCTAATTTTAGTAAGGTTCATTTGGTAAATGTATTCGCCGATCCTGTGCTCCGAAATTTGTATAAGCTTGCCCTCTATGTTCTAACTTCTAACTGAAGTTCCTTGTCCGTGACATGACGATTTTAATGTATTTGTTTCACCTCGATAGGGGACCAACTTTCTTTAGGAGTGTCATTGGTGACTGAAGCATTGCAAAAGCTGACTGTCGGAGAGGACAATTACCATCGTGTTGTGCTCATGCGCAGACTTGGATGGATGCAAGTGCGGCTTGGCAATAATGAAGAGGCCAAAAGGTTAGATCTGCAGTAGCCTCTGGTACAGGAGACGTGCGATGTCATCGTATCCCCATTGCGTAGATCGATGCTCATGTTGTCAGTCACTGGATTGTCTGGTCCAGACTCGATTGTTTACAAACCGCCGCCATATAGCTGGAATATTGCTGAGTGCGGCACCAACAATACGTTCTGCGTACCTGTTGGCAAAGCGCTGTGGAAAGTTCTTTTACGAATTTGACTGTAAGTTGTGTCAGTTACCTCTTGGCCGGTAACAGGCAGAACACCAATAGCTTCCTACCTTGAGGAAAGAGTGAGCCACCTAGGGCCCGTCCCAGAAGCGTCTCTTTGATGTGATTGAATACTTAAGAGCTACTTTATCCTGTAGCAAGTCAGTCCTGACCTGATCACGCTTGTCTAAAGAAAAATGCTTTTGTATATTTGTCTCTTAATATTGTGATGTTTTAATATATTTTTTCGGTTTAGTTTAAAAAAAAAGATTTTTTTCAAAGTACAATAAAGCACGGAAAGCTAAAACTTGTTATGACTAAAGTAAATATATACTTGCAGAGTGGATCATCATCATCATAATCATCCTTTGTACTTTCTCGAATACATTGCACGAGTTGTCTTCAAATATATATAGGGGCGACGGGGTAGCCTAGCGGTTAATTCGTTCGCTCGTCCCGCTGAAGACCCGGGTTCGATCCCCCATGTAAACTCACTCCAATAAATGTGAATGTTTGCCATCATAATAAGGATGAAGTGTCCAGTAACTGTTTCTTCATTATTTATGTGAGCTACAGTACCTCGTATTTTCACAGTGTAGTCAAGTGAGTGAGTGAGTTTAGTTTTACACCACTTTTAGCAATATTCCAGCTTTATCACTGCGGAGGACACCAGAAATGAGCCTCACACATTGTACCCATGAATCGAACCCGGGTCTTCGGCGTGATGAGCGAACGCTTGAACCACCGGGCTGTACTCAAGAAATGTAAGAGGTTAGCAGTGTTTGCGCTAATGCCAATTTGAAACGTAACGTTGTGTCTTTTTTATATTTTTTTTCGCTTTTCAGGCGACTGACCGAGGCACTAAAGACCCCTGTCCCTACTGAACTTAATGAAAGGGTGGAACCTCATCGGATTCAGATTCTGTCCCACCTCGCTATCGTCAACAGCTACTTAGGTACGTTACGTCATCACGCCACCTCAACACCAACGGAGAAACAACTGAACACATTGACCAAAATAACTTTTAACACCACGGTGTCTCTACCTCAACACCCCAATATATCCAACGCCATGGCCATGATGGCTATGCAGAGGGATCGAATCCCGATCGCCTAGTTTGTTTCTTGGTTTGTCCGGGCCATACCTGAGCACCAAAAACAGCAAACGTCTGAGACTGGCATGACTTCGGGTTTCCTTCCCACACGAAGCCGTGACGGCTAACATGCCTTGTAATTGGTATACTCTTCGAAACGGCGTTAAACCAGACTCATTCACTCTCACTATAACTACTTGTAACAGCATCCCGCAAGCTTCATGTGCTCGTTATCTCACTGGTTTGCTTGGTCCAGACTCGACATCCAATACACGACGCCGTGATTTGCCTTAAGTATTGTTGGCTGTTGTAGTAGCATACCAATGAGTGAGTGAGTTTAGTTTTACGCCACACTCAGCAATATCCCAGCTATATGGCGGCGGTCTGTAACTAATCGAGTCTGGACCAGACAATTCAGTGATCAACAGCATGAGCATCGATCTGCGCAATTGGGAACCGATGACATGTGTCAACCAGGTCAGCGAGCCTGACCACCCGATCCCGTTAGTCGCCTCTTACGACAAGCATTGTCGCCTTTTGTGGCAAGCATGGGTTGCTGAAGACCTATTCTACCCCGGATCTTCACGGGTTAGCATACCAATGAATGAACTGATGTGATATAATATATCTATATATGCAAATGGGATTACAGCAGAAACTACTTCCAAACTCTATGCAAGATACAATGCCGTGTTTCTCAATACACATTGACTGGGTTTAGGGCATACACTACAAGTCACCTGTTTCTGTCATACATATACCTGTATCTTCAACGGCATATCATAACTTTGGCAGACCAGTCAATCACTGAATGCATACCCAGGTTCTAAAACTCTGTCATCGAGCGAAATCAAGACTAGTAAAGATCGCCTATCGTATTAATGACATTATAGGATGACGTGATTATAACCATTATTCTAAATACCAAATAGAAATATGAAATATGTACAATATATATATATATGCATATATATATATGCATATATATATATATATATATATATAATATGCTTGTTTAAATTCGCATAATACATTCTTATATTCCTTATGTTTTATATATTTATCACGCAGTAAAACACTTCCTTATCAATCTCTATTCGACAGGTAAGATTTCATGTGGTATGCTAGCTGTCGCTCGAGAATTACAATAATTCTGACACTGGTTTCGTAAAGTCAACATGACCATCATGCTCGTATAATATCTTACGTGTGGAATCTTTATCACTGCGCGGAGAATTATCCAGATACTAGTAAGCATGATAACATCAGATATGTCAGTAATGGCACGTGGACCTTTTGGTCTAGTCCTATTTAACTGGTGTGCTTGTCCTACAATACAGGCAACTACCCCGAGAGAGGATACTGAGAGGATACTTCGGCGCACTATCCCCAGGGCTAACCAGGTCATGCCGGGACACCCGGTGCTTGCAGTGCTTATACAGACCATGGGCGTCAACTTCGATAGGCGTACGTATATGAAGATATGTGTATCAAACAACCATTAATCTCGAAACCAAACATTGTCACAAAAGGTTCTGGTTTTCTTGCTCTTGTGAAAGAATGAATCAGATTCTGTATTCAATTACTCACTGCTTCCATCAAATCTTGAAAAACCCACGCTTTTTCTTTTAAGGTTTGTATAAGTCATTTTCGGTTTTAATCGTCGTCGTCATCATAATTTTTTTTAGTCTGTAACATATATTACGGATATTTTGTAGTCATTATTGTCGTCATCATCATGATCATCGTCGCTGTCGTCATTATTGTTGTCAACGTCAGTAACGGCATCAACGTCATTTTTGTCGTCTGTAACGTGTATTACGAATAATCGTATTCATTATCTCCTCCTCATCAGGGTCAAGGTCATCGTCATCGTCGTCATTAATGTCGTCATCGTCATCAACATCGTCATGTTTGTCGTCTGTAACGTATGTTATGAATGTATTCATTATGGCATCATCCTCGTCATCAGGGTCACGGTCATCGTCATTATCGTCATTATCATCATTATTGACCTGTAACGTATTGTATGAATATTCGTATCAATTATTGTCGTCGTCGTCATCGTCAGCATCATCATAATCAATGATTATACAAGGTACTATGTGTACAGAGTGCCAGCTGGACAAGGCGTTGGTGTACTACAAGATGTCCTGTCATGAACGGAGGAAGCTGGCCTCCACACTGCCCACGTACCTCGTCACCAACCTCAACAACCTCGCCTCCAACTACACATGGCGGGGGGATTGTGGTGAGTAGAGGGACGGGGAACCTCGAACATCTGGTGTATTGACAAGACTCCTTCTGGATATAATGTTTTACAGATTGATTCTAATAATGCGCAACGAACAACAACCCTATGCTGCTGGACCTGACTTAAAGGTCACATGTAACGTAAAACACAACTTTGCAGATTCTGATCTATACCTTTCGGTATGGACTTACCGAAACAAATCATCAAAAATGCAAATGAAAAAAAACGCGCGAAATCGTAGTTCAAACGATTCACTAATTTTCCCCCAGCGTTTTGGGGGAATTCAAGTGGTTCCAGCAGCTGGGCTGCGCTCATAGCACGTGCACAGTGAAATAGGTTCGCGCAACTTGGAAGGGGGTTGTCCGGTGAATACTCGGTGAAGGCTTTGGTGTAAGCTATTTTTCTAATGTTTTGTTGATATCTCACAGGCGCGAGCTTTTTATATGTTATGACAGTAAATTAACTGTTTATATAATTTCATTTGTCTATTTCACCACACGTTCTTCTTACCGAGTCACTTTCTCAGTTCGATACTTAAAAGCAATGTCATAGCGTTGACAGAATTTCTAACTGTGATATAGATATGTCGTTGTCACAGACAAAACTCAATGTCTTGTTTTATTGACACCTGTGTGTCTGCCTGCCTGTCTGCTAATGACAATATTCAATACACAACTGCGATCACTGACCACATGCAATTTGAGCTTAACACCAATCAGGCTATACACAATAAACAAAATGCATTGATTTATGGCCCGAGTTCGGTCTCTGTCACATTATGTAATTACACAGACAGGCAGGTGTGATACTTGAACACATGACATGTTATGATGTCTGTTGATTGCAAAATGTTACACACAAAAAATGAGCATGTATTTACAAAACCCAACATCTCTATATATACACATAAAACATTGAGCCTTGAGGGCATCTGCAAATGAACCAGCCGTTACACTTGAGTGCACACCCACCCGCTCTGACTGGGTTCGGTATCCCGGCTGCTTCGTTTCTTGGGAAGTAAACCCAAGTACACAATATTGCACTTTTGATTTGCGATTGTACGCTTATAATTGTGTTTATATGTTTTTTCATAACCAGCAATGTATATTATATGTCATGAATAAGTGATAATTGTGTTTTAATTATGTTTGATTTTTTGATTGCATGTGACCTTTAATGTAGATATGTCGTATGCCATTATAATTTTAGTGAGTAAGCATTGCTTAATTAACGCCGCTTGTAGCAATATTCCAGCAATATCACGGCGGGGGATACCAGAAACGGGCTTCACACATTGTACCCATGTGGGGAATCGACCCCGGGTCTTCAGCGTGACGAGCGAATGCTTTAACCATTAGGCTACCCCACCGACCTTATAAATTAACATGCGGGCAAATGTTGATGTATTCTGTGGGTAGAAAGAGTCGTATGTTGACGTATTTGTGTGATAAGTGTGACGTGTTTACGTTTTTCTGTGATTAGACGTGTGACAATGTCGACTGACTGACTGACTGAGTTTGGTTTTTACGCCGCTTTTAGCAATATTCCAGCAACATCACGGCGTGGGACACCAGAAATGAGCTTCACACATTGTACCCATGTGGGGATTCGAACCCGGGTCTTCGGCGTGACGAGCCATCGCTTTAACCACTAGGCTACCCCACCGCCCCCTGTGACAATGTTGAAGTATTGTGAGAGCAGAAGTGTGACATATTCTTACGTATTCTGTGAGAAATTGGACATTTTGTTATATGACACATTTTTCTTGTTTTTCTGTGTGGAATGCTGATATAGCTTGTGATTAGAACAGTGACGTATGTTGACGTATTCTGCGAGTAGACGTGTGACGTGTTGACGTAATCTGTGGGTAGATGTGTGATGTGGTGACGTATTTTGTGAGCAGATGTGTGACGTGTTGACGTAATCTGTGGGTAGATGTGTGACGTATTGACGTAATCTGTGGGTAGATGTGTGACGTGTTGACGTAAACTGTGGGTAGATGTGTGACGTGTTGACGTAATCTGTGGGTAGATGTGTGCCGTGTTGACGTAAACTGTGGGTAGATGTGTGACGTGTTGACGTAAACTGTGGGTAGATGTGTGACGTGGTGACGTATTTTGTGAGCAGATGTGTGACGTGTTGACGTAATCTGTGGGTAGATGTGTGACGTGGTGACGTAATCTGTATGTAGATGTTTGACGTGTTGACGTAAACTGTGGGTAGATGTGTGACGTGTTGGCGTTATCTGTAGGTAGATGTGTGACGTGTTGACGTAATCTGTATGTAGATGTGTGACGTGTTGGCGTAAACTGTGGGTAGATGTGTGACGTGTTGACGTAATCTGTGGGTAAATGTGTGACGTGTTGACGTAATCTGTTGGTAGATGTGTGACGTGTTGACGTAAACTGTGGGTAGATGTGTGACGTGTTGACATAATCTGTATGTAGATGTGTGACGTGTTGACGTAAACTGTGGGTAGATGTGTGACGTGTTGGCGTTATCTGTAGGTAGATGTGTGACGTGGTGACGTAATCTGTATGTAGATGTGTGACGTGTTGGCGTAAACTGTGGGTAAATGTGTGACGTGTTGACGTAATCTGTGGGTAAAATGCGACGTGTTGACGTAATCTGTGGGTAGATGTGTGACGTGTTGACGTAATCTGTGGTAGATGTGTGACGTGTTGACGTAAACTGTGGGTAGATGTGTGACGTGTTGACGTAATCTGTATGTAGATGTGTGACGTGTTGACGTAATCTGTGGGTAGATGTGTGATGTGGTGACGTATTTTGTGAGCAGATGTGTGACGTGTTGACGTAATCTGTGGGTAGATGTGTGACGTATTGACGTAATCTGTGGGTAGATGTGTGACGTGTTGACGTAAACTGTGGGTAGATGTGTGACGTGTTGACGTAATCTGTGGGTAGATGTGTGCCGTGTTGACGTAAACTGTGGGTAAATGTGTGACGTTGACGTAAACTGTGGGTAGATGTGCGACGTGGTGACGTATTTTGTGAGCAGATGTGTGACGTGTTGACGTAATCTGTGGGTAGATGTGTGACGTGGTGACGTAATCTGTAATGTAGATGTTTGACGTGCTGACGTAAACGCTGTGGGTAGATGTGGGACGTGTTGGCGTTATCTGTAGGTAGATGCGTGACGTGTTGACGTAATCTGTATGTAGATGTGTGACGTGTTGGCGTAAACTGTGGGTAGATGTGCGACGTGCTGACGTAATCTGTGGGTAAATGTGCGACGTGCTGACGTAAATCTGTTGGTAGATGTGACGTGCTGACGTAAACCGTGGGTAGATGTGCGACGTGCTGACATAATCTGTACGTAGATGTGTGACGTGCTGACGTAAACTGTGGGTAGATGTGACGTGTTGGCGTTATCTGTAGGTAGATGTGACGACGGTGACGTAATCTGCATGTAGATGTGTGACGTGCTGGCGTAAACTGTGGGTAAAATGTGTGACGTGCTGACGTAATCTGTGGGTAAATGCGTGACGTGTTGACGCAATCTGTGGGTAGATGTGCGGACGTGTTGACGTAATCTGTGGTAGATGTGCGGACGTGTTGACGTAAACTGTGGGTAGATGTGACGTGTTGACGTAATCTGTATGTAGATGTGTGACGTGTTGACGTAATCTGTGGGTAGATGTGTGACGTGTTGACGTAATCTGTGGGTAGATGTGTGACGTGTTGACGTAATCTGTATGTCGATGTGTGACGTGTTGACGTAATCTGTATGTAGATGTGTGACATGGTGACGTAATCTGTATGTAGATGTGTGACGTGTTGACGTAATCTGTAGGTAGATGTGTGACGTGTTGACGTAATCTGTGGGTAGATGTGTGACGTGTGGGCGTAATCTGTATGTAGATGTGTGACGTGTTGACGTAATCTGTCGGTAGATGCACGTGACGTGTTGGCGTAATCTGTGGGTAGATGTGACGTGTTGACGTAATCTGTGGGTAGATGTGTGACGTGTTGGCGTAATCTGTGGGTAAATGTGTGACGTGTTGACGTAATCTGTTGGTAGATGTGTGACGTGTTGGCGTAATCTGTGGGTAGATGTGTGACGTGTTGACGTAATCTGTGGGTTGATGTGTGACGTGTTAACGTAATCTGTGGGTAGATGTGTGACGTGTTGACATTTCTAAGGGTAGATGTGTGACGTGTTGACTTATTCTGTGGTAAGATGTGTGACCTGTTGAAATTTCAGACAAGGCTCTCCGGCTTCTCACGGAAGCTCTCAACCTGAGACGGAAGCTTGGTTGGTATGACTTCAACACGGCCCTCACACTGTGGTACAGGGGCAACGCATACTGTTTCAAGTAAGCTACTTAACATAAACTACCGCCTCCGTGGTGTAGTGGTTAGAGCGTCCGCCCGGAGAGCGGAAGGTCGCGGGTTCGATCCCCGACCGCGACATACCAAAAGACGTTAAAATATGGTACTTGTTGGTCCCTGCCTGGCGCTCGGCATTAATGGGTACAAGGACTGGTCGGCTCGGAATCAGTATAATGTGTCTGAGTGGGGTATTCATGCTTCACTGCGGCATGGTATCTCAGTGGGCTAGCACTATAAAACCAGCTTATGTCTGGGCTAGTACAAGCAGCCGCACATACACATACACCCGCATGCACGTTGTCATATGAGCGAAATATTCTCAGGCACGACGTTAAACCCAATTTCACCTCACCTCACCTCACTTAACATACACTACGCATTGGAAATAAACTCTGTCAAAAAAGAAACGCAACCCCTGTATTTTAGAGATTTTGATCTGAAGTTTTAGGACGACACGGCATTTTTATTATTTAAGACAGAAGTCTGAAATTTGGCAGAATAATAACCCAGATGGGCATGTTTAAAATTGTCATTTCAAAAGTCATCTCACAGACACCAGTTTGTCACCAGGGGGGCGTCTTTCTCAGTATCTCGTATGAGCACCACGCGCTGCAATCACTGCACGGCAGCTCCTTGGACAAGAACGGATAAGACGCCGGATTCTTTCCTGGGGAATGGCTCTCCACTCTCCTGCAGTGCAACGGCGAGCTGTTGCAGCGTCTGTGGCGGCGGCTGACGTTGACGTACGCGTCGATCCAGAGTATCCACAGGTGTTCAATAGGGTTGAGGTCTGGTGATTTAGAGGGTCATGGCAAGACATTGACGTTGGAATTCTGCAGAAAGTTCATTGTTGCACGTGCAGTATGAGGCCGGGCGTTGTCCCGTTGAAAAAATCTGTGTCTGTTGGTCAATAATCGGGAGAAGGTGAAGCTCTAACACGTGGTTGATGTAACGTTGGGCTGTCAGGTTCCTGGAACGATCACCAAGTCTGATTTCTGGTTGTATGAGATGGTTCCCAAACCATGACGCTTTCTCCGCCAAATCTGTCCACCTGTCGGACGCAGATGGGCGCAAAACGTTTATGACGTCTCCTATACAGACGCTGTCTTCCGTCGTGACGTTGCAAAAGAAAACGTGATTCATCAGAAAACCAGATTCGCCTCCAGTTTTGTAAAGTCCGTATCCTTACGTTGTTGCACCACCTGAGTCGTCGGCGTCGATGTAGGGGCGTAGTACAGGTCCAACAACTGGTCTACAGGCACGTAAACCCGCTTCTTTCAGACGGTTCCTAATCGTTTGAGCTGACACTCTCCTCAAACCTGGTATTTGTGTGGCAGTCACGGTTGGTAGGGCATGCCGATTACGCAGGTGATGGACCCGGATGTACCGATCTTGAAGGGGGGTCGTGATTCTTGGCCTTCCACTTCTCGGGCGATCGTTGGTCAAATTGAAGTTGTTGTAGCGGCTCCAAAGTCGGGATATCGTTGTTTTGTGAACATTTAGGTGCCGTGCAACAGTTCCAAAACTTTCTCCGGCTTGAACACGACCAATGGCGATATTTCGGTCGGCAGCACTCAATCGTGGCATTTTTAACACAGCTTTCGGCGACAAATGAATGAATATAATACGGAACCACATGGGCTTTTATACACCTACATTAACTGCCATTTTCATGATTTGCATGTGTTTTTTTTGTGCGAAGTCACCATGAGGGTCATTTCATGCGTTGTGACGGAATAAGCAATAAAATACACTTATGCGTACAAATGCAGTTGTTTGGATGGTAATCTTCATTAATTACGTGTATCATTTCAATACATTCGAATAAAATTTAGTTTGGAAGCAATAACTTCATTCAAACGAATTTTTCATATCTGAGGACAGGGGTTGCGTTTCTTTTTTGACAGAGTTTATATGTTATCCAAAACCCTATGAAAGTGCTTAAACAGAATTACTAGTGAATGCAAATTATTAAGGATGCCCGCTTGCCTATATTGTGTTTCAAATTTTTTAAAACAAATACTTTAAAAATATTTGTCCAAATGAAAAAAGCGGGTTACTGTGGATGATATTGCGCGAGACGCACAACTAATGCATACTTAATTGTAGTGCCAAGTTTGGAAATCATTCACCTTTGTCAGTTTTGTATAAATACAATAGTGTTTTTTAAAATATTTGTACTTTATATGAATAAAATGTTTATTTATAAGATATGTAAATGGCCATTGTTTCATTTATGCGGGGCGGTGGGGTAGCCCAGTGGTTAAAACGTTCGCTCGTCACGCAGAAGACCCGGGTTTGATTCACCACATGTCCCCCGCCGTGATATTACTGGAATATTGCTAAAAGCGGTGTAAAACTAAACTCACCCACTCACTCTTTCAGTTGTGAGCATTTACGTTTTTCTTTCAGTTTTAACGAGCAGTGACATTCCAATGATGACCTCATGCTATGCCTACAGTACACCTGTGCTGCTACCGTACAAACCCCCGTTTGACATAATTCTTTTCACGTAATTTTTGGTATATAACGTCGTTTCTTTGATGCTATATGGTATCTATGATTACCGTCTCCGTGGCTCTATTTCGGGGAAATGCGGTATCGTACATTGAACTTGAATGAACATAATTATTGGGATTGTTGTATCGCTTTTATTTACCTTATGCTGTTAGACGTCTCCAATACACTACATTTCCAACTGCCTAGTGAACACAAGTATAGAATGTTATACCAGTGCTTTGGGACCATTTGTACTGAACGAGAAGATTGATTTGCAGGAGACAAACAACGAGGTCGAAGAAAGAGTTGTTTTTCTTCTGCCCTGTCATAGTGGTTCTGTTCTAGTTACATCTTCGTACTATATTTGTTTACAACACTTTTCACAACACAGACTGTAATCTATCTCACTACTGAAACTTCCGCATTGAGGTCACCATGACCTGAGTATCACTCCGCTCAATGTATCATGTATACGTGAGATTGCATTCCTCCGCCTGACGCCTGAAGATGAAACAAAACAGAATAATATTTGACGCAAAACCATTTCCATTTAATTGCTATGATGTTTCAAAGATTTCATTTTGTTTTTGAAAACTGGACTGGAAAAAGTAGATACGGCAGCCGTCTAGAACGGAAATCGGAGTGCAATATGGAATTCCCTACGCGTGCCGTATTACAGGAATGTACTGCTTATGATAATCGTATTGTATGTAATACAATTCACATCGGAAGACTTACTTCATATAATATTGTGATAAGTGTCAATTTAATCAAGTAAAGTGAAATGTGGTTTAATGTTTCATTGGTTTATTTGGCGACGTCCATGCACGTGCATGCATGGCTGCTCGTACTAATACAGACAAGCAGCTTATAATGCTAACCCTTTGTGTGAATGAGTTAGTTTGGGTAGGGTAATCCAGTGGTTAAAGTTTTCGCTCGTCACGCAAAGGTCTGGGTTCGATTCCCCCACAAGGGTGCAATGTGTGAAGCCCGTTTCTGATGTCCTCCGCTTTGACATTGCTGGACTATTGCTAAAACGACGTAACCCAACTCACTCATTCACTATTTTGATATGGTTCATCGTGGGAACTATCGATGAATAATATATTCACTGTTACTGCCGTTTGAAGATTGTCTGATAATCTTTCACAAGATTGGTACTCATCCCTACATAGTACCACCAAGTTTTCGAATTATATTCTTTTCAAGTCCCTCCTGAATGTTGAAACTTATCTCAGTTTAGGTACTGCCCCATATTTAAGAAATTGTTTAACAAAATTTAGATGCGGTAAATTTAAACTTAGTTCTGAGACCGGTAGATATAACAATGTCCCTTATTATTCAAGATTCTGTCCTTATTGCTACAAAAATAATCTTAATTTAATTGAAGATGAAATACATGTTTTACTTATTGTAAAGCCTACTTAGATATAAGGAATAATTTTCTGGGTAAATATTTGAAACATCCTATTTCACAACACAGTTTTATAAACATAATGACTTCAACAAACATAAATGTTATAAATAATTTATGCATATTTTTATATTATGTTGGGAAAATAAGAGATTCTGATGTTTTTATGTAAAACCTGGGATAATCTACAACGTTATATAGTCTCCCTGGTAAAACGCATGTAACTTCTTATTATATTTATGAATGTATTTTGGGCCAGTGGCCTATTATTGAATAAAATGTCTGTCTGTCTGCCGTTTGAAGTACATTCGTTCGTGTTACAGAGGTCTTCTGGATGACGCCATCATGTCCTGTCACCAGGCTCTCGAAGTCATCATCCGATGCACACCACGCCACTCCTCCAACGTTGACATTAGACTCTCGCTCGCGCATGCGTACATGGCTAAAGGTGACCGGAAGAAGGCGGAAGGAACTCTCATGGAAACCTTGGATTATGTTCGTCTATTCCAGTCAAACATGAACGAGGTCAGCCTACTGTTGGCTCTGGAACATCTGGTCCTGATGAGGGAAGGTGAGAAGGATTTCGGGAGGGTCCACAAGCTGCTCACACAGGAGGCACAGCGTTTGATCGACGTGTTCAGAGATACAGACTCCAAAACGAGTCTTTCTATTCACCGGAAGTTGTCACTGTGGCGAGTATATTGTGGCGAGGTGTTGTGTAGGAGCGAGAACAGAAAAAATGCAACTAGTCACATCGACTGGAAGAATCTCTTTAAATGTCAATACTGCAGCATGCTGGGCTACAGTGATGAAAACTGGAGGTCTGGTCGTGCGTTGTAGCGTTTTGTATGGTGTGCACTACTCATGTCAGTGATATCTAAGGGACAGATCACTGACATGCATGGTGTGTGTGTGTGTGTGCGTTCGTGCGTGCGTGCGTGCGTGCGTGCACCCCAACCTCTCCTCATCGAACACCCATGAAAATATTTTCGCCCGACATGCCAAGTGCCCAGAAAGAAATGTGTTGTGAAGATATATTAAACTTTTCAGCTGTATTGAA